ATATATGTTTCTTCCCTTAAAAACATCCAGAGAGTATAAAACAACGTAATATTGATTTATTCATATACGGGTAGTAATAGTGGAATAACGTAAGTTTCTTTATTTAAAAACAGGTACCAAAAATAGAATAATGTAATATTGCCTTATTCATAAGGGGCTAGTGTTATCGGGTTAACATGTTTGTGCTTTATTATTATATATTGTTGCGAAAATGCGAATGTCAGATGAAAGAGAGAAGCCGATAACTAGAACATTCTAGAAACGATAAAACAAGAACCTTCGATAGCGAATAACTCGATGCTTCTACGCTTTCGTCTGCGAGCAGCCGACTGCTATATAAGGGCGACACTCAGCGGCCAAGTAAGTTAGTTACAAAGTGAGCTCGTTGGCGTTAACATCGGTAAAGTCGCAAAGTAAACGCGTTGGATATTACATTTAAGTAAAGTAAATTGTGAAAGTTGATGCTAGTGATTGAAGCTAAAAAAGTGCATTATAATTGAGTTGTGAATTACTGAGAAAATAAAGAACATTAGATGAATTCTTTATAACGAAAGAAACTGAAAATTAAGTTGGCGAGTTTTTATTTAACAATCCACAGATCGTACCCGAAGGATTCAGAAAATCACCGAGGTTGATTCAGCAAAATCGTAACAATTGGTGTCAGAAGTAGGATTGTTAAATAAATCCCAAAGGATAATATTCGCAGAATGGTAAAGATTCAGACGATAAAGACGATACCTCCTCTCAAGAGGGAGTTGGCAAAGCGAGGATTGTCGACAACTGGAAATAAGGTAGAGCTGCAATCGAGACTGCGAGAAGCAATGGAAGTTGAAGGCATCGACTTGAACCAGTACGAGTTCCATCGCGAGAATGAAGATGTATTCTTGAAGGACATTGACAAGGAAGAGGCTGATGATACTGTGAAGGAGTTAGAATCACCATCAAGTAATATTCAAGAAAAGGCTCCTGGCTCATCTAAGGGTATTGACATGAACGTGTTATTGACTGCGATTACACAAAAGTTCGAACGCCAGCATCGCACAATAGTTCGATGCCAGCATCGCACAAAATATGTCTGAAATGAGAGCCAGCATCTCACAAAAGATGGATGCACAGAATGCCAACATTGCATCACAAATGGCGCAAATACAGCAAAATTTGTTGAGGAACAATGCGGAGCTTTAGGAAAGGCAAGATCTGATTGAGACCGAAGTCAATGCTATGAAATGTCGTTTCCGGGAATTGCAGCTTAATCGTCCAACCGCTTCAGTGAACGCTCCGAAGGTAAAAACACAATCTTTTGACGGAAAAATCCCATTTCAAGTCTTTAAGCTCCAATTTGAGAAGACAGCTGAAACAAACAACTGGAGCATAGAGGAAAAATCCGCTGCACTATTCGTTGCGTTGGAAGGACCGGCTGCCGAACTTTTGCAAACCATATCCGTAAACGAGAGAAATGATTACGACGGATTGATGCGAGCCCTGGAAAGAGGCTATGGTAGCGACAGATTTACCAGACGGAGTTAGAAAAGCGCGACCGAAAATCCAACGAATCTCTGCAGGAATATGCTTCGGAAGTTGAGATATTGGCTCATTTAGCCATTGGAGACAGATCGGGTGAGCATCTTGAAAGGGTGAAGATACAAAGGTTCATCAGCGGAATAAAAGACGTGTACACCAAGCGAGAGACATACGCGAATCCAAAGTTGACATTCGCTGAAACTGTTGCGTATGCACAGACACGTGAAACGGCGGCGCTCATAAGCAGATCATCCTACAAAATCAATAAAATCGAGGTTGAAACACCAGATGTGATGACGGAAATATTGAGAATTCTGAAATCGCTAAAAGAGATGAATCGTTCTGGTTGCAGGACTCAAGCGGGGAAATGCTTTAAATGTGGAAAGCCTGGCCACTACGCACGCGAATGCAAAACAAGTTTCAGTAGACAGCAGGTACAGCGAAAACGGAAGGCGTCAGCAAGTTATGACTCCACAATCGAGCACCGCTAGGAGAAAAGCCACGGAAATGCTGACGCTATGTCCCATCGACCATGTAATATGGAATAGCAACATTGCTCAAAAGCTGAGGGTAAAGAGAACATAATAGACGTCCGGCAAAAAAAAATTACGCAAGCAGAAGAGTGGGAGGCAAGTAACTTAAGGAAATGTCAGCAAGAAGATCCAGTTTTAGAATTATTAATGCACGGGTTGGAGGTAAATGGACGACCAAGTAAGAAACAAATGGCTGCGGAAAGTCCTATCGCGAAGGCATACTGGGCACAGTGGAACAGTTTAGAGCTGATATCAGGCTGTTTGCATAGAGTGTGGTAAAATAAAGATGGCCAGTACTCCCGGAAGCTAATAGTAATTCCGAAGTTAAGAATTCCGGATGTTCTTAAGGAATTCCATAACGGTCCTAGTGGAGGGCGCCTAGGCGTTACAAAAACGCTGAAAAAGTTCAAGCAGCGGTTCTATTGGATTGGCTGTCGGCAATCGGTTGCAGAGTGGATTGCTAATTGCAAAAAGTGCATAGCAGCTAAAGGCTCAAAGTCCCGAAGTCATGGACAGATGAAGCAGTATAACGCAGGGGCACCATTTGAGCGAGTTGCCAAGTACGTTCTCGTGGTTATAGACTATTTCAGTAAATGGCCTGAAGTTTACCCAATCCCAAACCAAGAAGCAAAAACAGTTGCGGATGCATTCACTAACAATTGGGTTACCAGATACGGTGCGCCTATAGAATTGCACTCAGATCAGGGAAGAAACTTTGAATCGGTGGTGTTCCAGGAGATGTGCCAGATACTTGATATTCGAAAAACACGAACGCTAGCCCTATTTCCTCAATCAGATGGTATGGTAGAGCGATTCAACCAGACCCTGGAAGAGCCCTTGCGGAAAGTAGTGGACAAGCATCAGGATGATTGGGGTGTGTATACCGCTTTTCCTGATGGGATATCGGTCCGCCGTGCATGTAACTACAGGGCAAACACCTGCGAGGATACTGTTTGGTAGTGAACTACGGTTGCCCTGCGATTCAAAATTTGGAATAACTGGCGATGCGAGAAGAATTGGGAAGGTAACGTCTACCGATCTCGGGGAAGAGCTAAGAGAGGTGCATGCTCTTGTGAGACAGCGAACTCAAGTTATGAGTGACAAAATGAAGGCCAGGTATGAAATGGTGATGAACTCCGAAAGTTTCCAAAATGGAGATTTGGTGTTGCTGTACAATCCATAACGGAAGAGGGGTTTGTCCCCAAAACTTCAATGCAATTGGGAAGGTCTATTCAAGATAATCAAACGATTTGGTGTGGCTGTACAATCCACAACGGAAGAGGGGTCTTGTTGATAACGGAATTACATATCTTTCTTACTTGAACAGGTGCATGCAATAGAATAATGTAAAGTTGCTGTATTCATAAACAGATACTGTTGTCGGGTTGACATGTTGGTGCTTAATTCATATACAGGTAGTAGTAACGGAATTACATATGTTTCTTCATTTAAAAACAGGTACAAACAATAGAAAAATTTTTTGTTGTCGTATTCACAAACGGATATTGTTGTCGAGGTAACAGTTTGTGCTTTATTCATATACGGGTAGTAAAAACGGAATTACATATATTACGTTATTCAAAAGATGTATATCGAACAGAATAACGTACTGTTGCCTCATTCATAAGCGGCTAGTGTTATCGGGTTAACATGTTTGTGCTTTATTATTATATATTTTTCTTTATTTAAAAACATCTAGAAATAATGGAACAACGTAATAATGCCTAGTCGGGTTAGTGCTTTATTCAAAATAACGTTATGTAGCCTCATTCATAAGCAGATACTGTAATCGGGTTAATATGTTGGTGTTTTATTCATAACTGTGTAGTAGTAACGTAATTATATATGTTTCTTTCTGTTGTCGGGTTGACATGTTGGTGCTTAATTCATATACGGGAAGTAATAACGCAGTTATATATGTTTCTTTACGCAAAAGCATCTAGAAATAATAGAAGAACGTAACGTTGCCTTATTCATAAACGGATACTATGTCGGGTTGATGTGTTGAAGCTTCATACGTATACTGGTAGTAATAATGGAATGACATAAGTTACTTTATTCAGAAGCAGGTCTAATTAATAAAATAACGTAATATTGCTTGATTCAAAAACGGATAATGATATCGGGTTAAGATGTTGGTGCTTTATTCACAAACAGGTTTCGTTACTAAAAAAACATCTATAAATAATACAACAAAGTAATAATGCCTTTTTCATAAATGGACACTATTATCGGGCTAAAATTTTAGTGCTTTATAAATAAACGGGTAGTTGTAACGTACTAAAGTATATGTTTCTTCACTCAAAAACGTCCAGAAAGTATAAAACATTTATTCATATACGGGAAGTAATAGCGGAATTACATATTTCTTTATTTCAAAACAGGTGCAAAAGATAAAATAATGTAATGTTGCCTTATTCATAAGCGGCTACTGTTATCAGGTTAAAGTGTTATTGGTTTATTCATAAACGGATAGTTATAACGTAATTATATATGTTTCTTCACTTAAAAACATCCAGAAAGTACAGAACAACGTATTTCGTCATATCCATAACTGACTAACGTCTCTTTGATTTATTTATATACGGGTAGTAATAACGGAATATACACAAAATAGAATAAAGTTAAGTTGCCGTATTCATAAACGGATATTGTTGTGGGGTTAACACTTGGTGCTTTATTCATATACGGGTAGTAAAAACGGAATTACATATGTCAGGTTATTTAAAAGATGTATATCGAACGGAATTATGTACTGTTGCCGTATTCATAAACGGCTACTGTTATCGGTTTAACATGTTTGTGCTTTATTACTATATATGATTCTTTATTTAAAAACATCTAGAAATAATGGAACAACGTAATGTTGCCTTGTCGGGTTAAAATGTTAGTGCTTTATATATAGGCGGGTAGTAATAACGGAATTACTGTCAAAAGCAGGTATGAATAATAAAATAACGCAATGTAGCCTTATTCATGAGCAAATACTGTAATCGGGTTAATATGTTGGTGTTTTATTCTTAAATGTGTAGTAGTGACGTATATATATATGTTTCTTTGTGCAAAAACATTTAGAAATAATGGAAGATCGTACTGTTGCCTTATTCATAAACGGATATCGGGTTCAAATGTTGGTGCTTTATTCACAAACGGGGAGTTACAATGGAATTATATTTTGTTCTTCATTAAAATCATCTGGAAATAATAGAACAAAGTAATAATGCCTTTATCATAAATGGACACTATTATCGGGTTAAAATGTTAGTGCTTTATTCATAAACGGGTAGTAATAACGAACTAACGTATATGTTTCTTCCCTTAAAAACATCCAGAAAGTATAAAACAACGTAATATTGATTTATTCATATACGGGTAGTAATAGCGGAATTACGTACGTGTCTTTATTTAAAATGATTTACGTGTATTCAATAGTAATTTGGAGTCAGTAGCAACAAAGCTACATGGGTCAGAAAACCCTGCTAAAGTAACTTTAATAGTTCCAAACAAGAGTCGCTTGCGATCGATGCAAAAGCCCTACTTAAGATGGCATTGAGACAAGACGAATCGAAAGCTATGAAAAATCGTTTTCCCTTACAAAACTTTTCTGTCCCATATTACAACAAGTCCACGAAAATTATATAATTCCTACACATCAATTTGGTTTTCGCAAAACATGGCACAATTGAACAAGTAAATAGCATAACAAATGGAATTAAAAAAAGATTTCGAATTCAAAGAGTATTGTTCGGTCGTTTTTCTTGATGTCGCTCCAGCACTTGACAAGGTGTAGTATGAAGATCTTATTCATAAAATTAAACATTCATTACCTACTTATATATAAGATGAGGTTCACAGCAATGTTACGAGGGCACTTGACACTTTCGCGACCTAAGGCAATTGGAGATCACACATCATCTCGTTGTTAATAATAATAATTTCGGTACTTAATAAAGTATAAATAACTTTTTTTTATCAGGTTCAACAAGCAACAACACCATGGCAACGGAAACTGGAAATTCTCGCAATTTGGAGCACCTTGTAAAAAGATAGGAAATCCGCCGAAAGAAAATTTTAAAGAGATGTTATCGGTTTTGCAGGACTCTGTCCCTGTTTCAAGGAGAGAAGCTTGAAGATGACCCCCGCCTGAGGTGCCTAGTGACAGTCGTGATCGAACTATAACAACTATAAATTTGTTTCCTTAAATACTTTAGGTCGCGAAAAGGTCAGCAGCCACTCGTAAAGGATAATATAACAGAAGAGTATCCAGTTTTCTTTGGTCATAATTCTACATATTGTTCACCGCAAATATTCCTACAAGTGACAAAGTAATTTCGTCGAAATTTGCAGATGATTCTGCTATAACAAGCTGGTTCAAATGCACCATAAACTAATTTAAGAATGGCTAGCAAAATGGCACATAAAGTTAATGAGAACAAGTGCAAGCATTTAACTTTTACGCTAAAAAATACCCTATTGTCAAGCTCAATTATGTACTAATTCCATAAGCTGACGAAATTACATACCTCAGGAGACCCAGTTATGGAGACCAGCTTGCGGAACGAATTTAGATAAGTTAACGCTGTTAACACTCAAGAGATTCAACCATACGTTTCCCACGTACGGAAGCGCGGCAACAACAACAATGCTGATGCCATGTCTGCTACGTAACAGTAGACGGTACATGCACAGCCATTCCGCCAATTCAGCAACAAGTCACCTGTGCCCGTAACGTGATACAGAAGTTTAATGTTAAGAAAATAATATTGTAAAATTAGTCTTAGTTTTACTTTGTATAAAAAAAGGTGACTTCGGCCAATTTTTTTTACAAATATATAATATAAAATAAAAAAACTCCACATGTGGTACAAATATTGGAACCGCGACAACACAACCCACAAGAACAGCTTCTCAAGTAGCAGCAACAACGGTGACAACAGTAGCTCCTCAAGTAGCAGCAACAACGGGGAAACCAACAGCTCCTCAAGTAGCAGAAACAGCGATGAAACCAAGTAGCAGCAACCTACAACATCAGTGCAGTCTCCTGTGACAGCAGAACGCACTAACCGTGAAGAGAACGAAAAAAGAGTGGTATGATATCTTGAAAAATCAATAATGGAAGACATATTCAGTTATAGAAGTAAGCGAAAGAAAATAGGGAAATATCGTGAAAACAAAGTTTATAAAGTATCTCGAAAAACAAAATTGTAATAGAGATAAAAAGTAAAAGTAGAAAAAAGAGAAAAGAAAAGTTAAATATACCAATTATAATTAACGAAAGGAATAATATTCAATTTTAAAAATAATTTTTAATTAAAAACTATATGAAAAAAGGAAAAAAAGAAAATAGAAAAACAGAAAAAATTAATTATTAAAATAAAATAAAAATAATTAATTAAAAAAGTTAAGAAAAAAATGAATATCAAATTATTAATTGGTTTCATTTAAGTAAGAAAGAAACCATTGAAGCAAAACTTCAAAATCAACACATTATTAGACCAATTGACCAAACTATTGACCCAGAATAGCGTGGACAATTAGACGATCTTGACAAAATACCAGACATTATACAAAGCTTGCGGTAATTCTCTAGCAACCCCGGCGAATTTAACTCATGGAGAAAATGTATCGATCGCGTGGTTCAGATCTACGAAGGTATCAGAGCTACCCCAAATTACTTCGGTATCTTAAGCGTCATTAGAAATAAAATTGTATGCAATGACGACTTTGTCCTAGAATCCTATAATACTCCACTTGACGGAAAAGTTATATCACACAGCCTTTACGCGGACAAGCGCGAGATTACAGTGACGAAAAACTATCTCAGAGTTTAACCAAGAAATTTGCAACCACCTTTCTCTCCCTCTCAACAACTTTCGAGTCTTGAATTGGGACCCAAAGCCCTTAACCTTTTAACACAAACCTATAGAAACAAAGCTTTGGATACATTCATAAAAGGATTCAATAGAGATTTTCCTAGACTCCTAGGAATAAAGGAGCCAATAGACCTACCACAAGCCTTTCATCTCTGTTTTAAAGCCGTAGAACGGATCAACCCTCAGGAAACCCCGGTTCCAAAAACAATCATTTTCTCCACAACTAGCATACCAACCGCAAATAACAACATATCACCAAACAACACCGCATAAACAAAGAAAATTCGCAACAACCAAGAGCAGTCAATTACATAAGTAGACCCAACTAGAACGGAATAGCAGGAAAACGACCACGACCACCATCTAATCAATTAAGCTACAACTACTCGAACAAATTCCAACGAATCAACCTTAACCTTATTGCACAAGATACTAACGTAAATAATAAAGACTACGAAGAAGATACCACCAATACAACAACGAATACATGAGAAAAGAGCAGAAACAACTCAGAAATTTTAATGATTTCGTAGACATTCATATTTTAGACTAATCTCTTCATCGCTACCTTACCTCAAGCTTAGGTCGAGCGATGGAAAAATATTAAAATTCTTAATAGATATCGGTTCAAATAAGAACTACATAAAAAGCTTCATTAGTAAAAAAATCCCAAACTCAATGAAAACATTTTTTTCCCAAAATCAGTAGGCAGCAATATTGAAATATCACAAGACACCGATCTTAACATTTTCAAACTCAAGGAAGAAAAGCACAAATTTTTTATTTTACCCACACTTAAATCCTTTAAAGCAATTCTTGGCAACGATAGCCTAAAACAGCTAAAGGCACTTATATACACATCTGACGACAGAAAATATCCGAATCAGTTAAGAATATTGAACTCAGAACCGAGCACTTATCAAATGATCAAACAAAAAATTTACAATCACTATGCGCTAGACATCCAGCACTTTTTTCAGAGCCGAATGAGAAATTGACATATACAACGACAGTGGTAGCAGAAATAAAAACAACAACAGATAGTCCAGTTTATTCAAAATACTACCCCTACCCAATAGAAATGAAGGACGAAGTTGAAAAACAATTCAAAGAATTGCTAAATCAAGGCATAATCAGACACTCAAAATCACCTTACACCTCACCAGTCTGGATTGTCCCAAAGAAATTCGATGCTTCAAAGGAGAAAAAATACATAGTGGTAATAGACTACCGTAAACTAAACAGTGTAACAATACCAGACAAATACCCCATCCCAGAAATAAATGAAGTCCTCACCCAACTTGGGAAAACCAAATTCTTCACAGTGTTAGACCTTAAAAGCTACAGTGGACTTCCGATTACAAAAATGTCAAAAGAGCTTAGGTCATTCTTTGCAATGTCTGGCTTTTACAGACGTTTCATTAAGGATTCGGCCAACCTCGCGAAACTCCTAACTCTAACTTTGAGAGGGGAAGAGGGTCGAATGTCCAAAAGTATGTCAGTCAAAACAGGAGTAACACTAAACCAACAATCAATAGAGATATTCAACAAAATCAAGACTTCACTTATTTTAAACGACGTAATATTAGAATTTCCTAACTTCAACAAAGAATTTCACCTAACAACCGACGCCTCGATATATGCAATAGGTGCTTTGCGGGAGCAGGACGGCAAACCAATAACTTCTATATCACGAACACTGACGAAAACAGAAGAACACTAAATTATTTACAGATCACCAGCCCTTAACAAATGACCCCAGTAACAAAAACCCCAATAGTAAATTAATTTTGGAAAAATACAACTCTGAAAATATATACAAACCTTAAAACACCAACGTAGTAGCAAACGCATTATCACAAATACCACCCGATCCGCAAATAAGCTCATTGACAGCTATACAACATAGTGACGAGAGTTCAGGACAAACATTAATACCCTACACAGATGCACCAATAAATGATTTCAAAAGTCATTTTCTAATATCTCTTCACACCAATTTCAAATCGTTTTCCCAACATAACATAGACACACTATAATAGAACCCGAATTTACTGAAGATATCCTAACCACACTTTTAAAAAAGTATCTCAATCCCTCAGTCACTACGCAATGAAAATGGAAGACAACATCTTAAGGAAAATATTAAATATATACTCACTGGTATAGCGTAAATTTTACGTGAAAAATAGTGAAAGATCGAATAAATTAATCAGAACTAGAAACGGAAAATTTAAAGGAACATAACAGAGCACACAGTAATACGATCTAGATCAGTACGACGAGATCATAAAAAAACTAGACACCTCAATAACACGAAATAGAAACCAAAAAATTCTTATTATCCCAATTGAAACCTAATAGATTAAGGACAGCGATAGAAACATTGGGAACTATTTGAAAGTGGATAACTGGTTCACCAGACCATGAGGACTTCCTGATAATTAGTGTTAAGATTAACAATATAGTAATAAGTAAGTCAAAAGTCCAATATGATTTTGAATAATGCAAAATCAAGCAACGAACTAAAATATGAATTAGCAAAAATTATTCATACTATCAAATCAGGAAATAAGTGTAATAAAAGAAATTTTTGAAAAACAAAATGTGCCATACATAAATGTCAAAGAAGCCATTGAATTAAGTGACATTCAAATCGTGTCGAATCAATCTAATATTATTTACATTATAAGTATACATATAACAAAGAATGAATATGCAAAACAATTGTAATAAAAGCATTAAAAGAAAATAAAAAAATAATAAAAATTCTATATGAAAAATTAAATATGTCAAGATAAAATATATGGAATCAAAAGTAATTGTAAAAAACTTAGCAATATAATAGTTTTTAAGCAAAATGAGTTAGATGATATTTCAAATACAAGCTGTATTCCACGATTGCTAAAAGGCAAACCTCAAACTGCACAATCATCAAAAATCAGCACATACCAATACAGGAAGAAATCCTCCAAGGAACAAATTTGATTATTAATGGTTACAACGGAACAATAAATTATGTCAACTCCACTATCAATATCTAAGTCAAAAGTTATTCAAATAAAGAGGCATGATTTGCCAACCCTCTACCAGCGATCAGACAATCAACAAACTTTGCCACAAAAACCGAAGGAATTCTATCCTTTCAATTGCTACCAGAACTAAACGTAGCTACCATAGAGGAAATAAGCCTGCTGAAAACAAAATATAAGACCGGTCTTTGGACAGGCTCCGCCACAAATATAACAATCATTATGCTGGTGCTTGAAGGAGCGGCAAAAGGATATTTAAAGAAAAAACCTACAATACAAATTACGAAACAAACACACAACCAGGATTCAAACCCCAGACGAGAGGATACACTTACAATAATCTCAAGCGTCCTATCGGTCAACGAAGATGTTGCGCCTTCTAAAGGGGGAGGAGTTAATGCGGTAAACACTTAAAAGCTTCAACCATACGTTTCCCACGATACGGAAGCGCCAATAACAACAATACGTGTAAAATGCTGATGCCATGTCTGTTACACCGCCAATCCATAAGTATAAGCAGGAACAGTTAAAATGCTAATATTCAAAAAAAATTGTACTCAAAACTACATTATGTTATCAGTTGTTTGGCTATTAGTTTTTCGAAAAAAATTTAGAGAATTTTGTCACACCTCAAACCAATACGTTGCAAAGTGTATGGGAAAACTCATCAATTTTTTCTAGTATTTTGTAAACCGGCCGCCAGAGAGACGATTTTCTCACCATTCAAGGTTTTGAATCGTATGTAAATATGGTATTGGCTAGAATAGGATATCTGTATCTCTTCATTTTTAGTATATGTGTCTTAAAACAAATCTCAAGTTTTTTTTGTAATCATTGAGATAAACGGGCTACACAAAGTTTTTAAGGCCTAGTGATTGAAACTACCCATTCGTCCTTTCTTTTTTTTGTCGAGTTGAAGCATTTTAAATTTGGTGGCCTACTTTTTGCCTGTGTTGATTTATTGTTGCTGGAGGAGAGAAATTCATGTTCTTTCATAGTGTATTGTTATTATCAATAATGGATTGAGATGTATTTAATTCCTGCATTTTTAAAGATTATTGAGCTAGTCTCACTAAGTATCGGGGCATCTTTCACATTGCAGTTTTCACTACAACGAGTATACGATGCGCAATATTCCAAGTTGGTTCATTGATTGCATTATCTACTTGGTTCGCAATCAGTCATTTTCTTCTCGCAATCAAACATTTTCTTCTCGCAATCAAACATTTCTGCAAAAAGTTTTTGTTCGTAAATTATATTTTGAACGTCATAGTACATTTGTACATTTGGAAAGAAGCTTTTTTATTGGATTTGATTGACTATGTTATTTCCCAAAGAAGGGGACAGTATTTGTGATTTCAGTTGTTATCGTCTTTGTCATTGGCTTTATAAGTTCACTTTTAAGTTTTTATACACACGTAGTTGAATTTATGACAAGTAGATATCGCGGTGTCTACACCTACAAAGAAGAAGTGGATCGGGATATCCCCAATAAGATTCCCATACTGAGAAGCCTTATTGTACATTGGCGCAGGCTGTGAGGTCCTGGAGAAGTATTCCATGCATAAACTCAATATCTATGTACATCAGAGGATTAGTCTCGTTACTACAGGTCAAATTTTAGGTGCTGAAACCGTCCAGAAGGCGCTTAATTTTTTCATAGATTTTCCGAGTATATGTAATGTTGAACATGTGCTGAAGTTCTTGTACTACACGCACTTATTGTTACTATTGTATATTCATAAGCTGACACTCAAACATACTATTACAATATTGTTGCTCTGTATGTATGTATATATATTTCTTAACACCATGAGAATTTATATTATATGTACATTTGTATGTATTTTTTACTTATATATTTAAGCAAGAATTTGACTGTCTGGTAGAATAATACATACTGCCGCAGCTGACAAACCAACCAAGCTATAAACAAATAAAGCGCCAGATGATGAGCTCTGTAAAAGAACTTGAGATACAAATGGTGTAGCCATCGCGCCAATTCGGGCTATAGTTGAACATCCACCAACTCCCAAAGATCGCAAATTGTTAGGATAAATTTCGGGTGTATATATGTAAGCAGCTTGAAAAAGTCCGGATATAACTCCTCTTGCAATAAATAGTACAGAAGTGGTGTATATACGGCTGAAATGGAAAATGATAAATGTTATACTTATAATTACATGTAAGTAATTGGCTATTGCTTTGATTAAAAAGTAAAAGAGTAAACCTTTCTAATAAACATTAATTCAACAACAGCTGAGTTGCATACATTGAACGCCTCCAAACTGAATTGTTGAAAGAGAATGTAAGAAAATTGTCCTAAGTTTTTGCCTGAGATTCAGAGTAAATCGAGTTTCAATAAATAACGGCAGGGAAGTACCCGGATGAAAAAGTATTCATATTTGAAGTCAAATGTTGTCAAAATAATAATTTGCTTCTGTCCGCTAGCCACTCAAGATATTTACACTCACGCAACTCCAGCTCTTTCTTTTTCTGTCTGCATATGCGTCTTGCTTATCTTCGCTGCTACGATATAGTGGTCCTGCTCAGTATTGGGCTCTCAGAGCGTACGCAGTTCAAGAAATCGGAGAAATATCATCGGTCTATTACAACATGATCCACCAGATTTTGAGTCTTTCGATCAGGGACAGTCCCGTAGATTCATGTATTTTCTTGTGCTGAAACCACAGACGACCATATCTTCCGCCCCGGCGAAATCCCTTAACATCGAACCATTTCGGAACGTTCCCTTGGTCGCATCGTCATCATCTTTTCATCGATTATAAAGCTGTGTCCTTGGTATTACAGAGCAAACTAGCGCTAGACAACAGCGGACACTTAATACTGGAGAAAATAAAAAGATCTGCAGAGTAAATGGATCAGGCACAATATTTTACAAGGATGTACACCTGCTGGCGTATGTCGATGACATTGATATTGTAGGCCTTAACAACCGCGCCGTTACTTCTGTTTTCTTCAAGTTTGACATAGAAGCAAAGTGACAACAAACAAACAGTCGGGGCATTTAGGTCTCTGCTCTCGCGTCACTACTGACTCTTAGCTTCTAGATTGTAGATAATTTCTTCTATCTAGTGACCAACATTAACACCAATAATAATGACAGCCATGAAATTCAACGCAGAAAAAGGAACTACTTTAAACTGAGTATGATATTGAAAAGTAAAGTCATCTCTCGACGTATGAAAGCGCTTTAGCTTTGAAAGTATTCGATGCAGTACCCGCTGGCGGAAGCAGAGCAAGAGGAAAACCCCCACTCTGTTCGAAAGATCAACTGGAGAGTGAAATTAAAAATGTAAATAATTTAATAATAAGAATTAATAAGGAAATTAAATAATTTTTTTCTTTTTTTGTATTAACAAGATATGATTTTTATTAACACTATTAAAAATGCAAATATGTCGAAAATTATAAAAATAAATTAAATAAAAAAGAGATTCATAAATAATTTTCTAAAATTGTTCTTAACATTTTGACTGGTTCTTAATGCAGAAGTAGATGGTTTTGCTTATGTTGATTTAACTAGGGCCTTTAAAATAGCGTTGTAATGGCACAGGCGTAATATTTATAGCTAGTTGTCTACATTTTTGCCCAATGTTAGCTGTTGACCTAAACGGGCTTAAGTCGCCGAAAAGGTCCCTGCCCTTGGCCGGATAAAATCCGGGTCAACTTCGGTACGTAGAAGCGGCTGTCTTTTGCTTATAAATTCATAATATTTAATCCGCAAACGTCATGGCACAACTAGCTCCTTCACTTTTCTTTTGTTTTGTTTTCACCATCGAGGTAAGCTGGTTTCCACAAAAATTGTCAATCAACAGATTATTAATTATAAAATGTGTATTGAATACCACGGCAGCTTTCAACTGAGTTAATCACTGGCCCATCGATCCGGATATACATTACAAGAATTGTTAAAGTTATAAGTTGAAGCCTTGTTTTCGGAAGCAATATGCCTATAAAAATGCCGATTCTATTCGCTTCGCGATGCAACCAACATCCAAAAGTTATAACAATTCAAGTTAAATTTTCTAATTGCGGTCGCCCCTCGGCAGGGAACTACAAAAAAAAACTCCCTCCGATTTCTGGCATGAAATAGAGGTTCCTTATAAAAAAGCCATCAACCCTTCGGAGGTAGCTTAGTATAAACTGTAGGTCCCTCCATATGTTGGAATAATATCAAGACGTAAAACCACAAATTTGAGCGTGAGCTCGGCCGAAAATCGCCGAAATAAAAAACGATAAAAGGGTGATTTTTAAAGGGTGCTTTCAAATTGAATTGCATCCAAGTGTCAAATACACATATTTGAAAAGTGAAGTCCAAAACAGATTTTGTCGACTTGCTTTAGCAATTGTCGTAAACTGCACTTTTTAAATACAATCCCTCGGACATCCGTAAAGTCACAAAATTATAAGCAAGATGTACTTACATATTTACATTTCCAATCATATGTTTATTTATTCCTAAAAATCCTGCCCACTCAATTTTTCGCACTCCCATTTAAGTAGCGTCTGGTTATATTTATACATATCAGTTTGCCTTAGGCAATCTTAATGAAATGAGCGCAAAATATATTTAGTTGTTTTAGCTAAATTTACGCCAGTGTAAATACAACAAAAATAAATTATTATAAGTTTATTGTCATATGTTTTTTTTTTTTGACCAAATATGTTTGAAATATCAATAGTAGAGGTTTATTGCTGCAGTGCATATATAGCGGTGGCTAGGAGCTAAGTTAAAATCAAAATTTGTGTTTACGCTATAGTAAGCGATATATCCATTTAAGTCAATTACATAATTTTGTGAGGTTTTCGAATGTTGAGCTCAAAAGCTCAAAAGCTCAAAAGCTACTCCTGTCTTTTTTTACTATGGCGAAATTAAATAAATTTTTTTTTGAAGTCGTTATGGGCGGAACGAGAGACAGAATATCGAGCTTGCCTGTCGAATGCCAATTGATCAATTTACATCTAAGTGGCACTACAATTGAGACGAGCAAGCTAAAGTATGTTGATTGTTTTAACGCGTATGTCTGTTGTGCAACGTTAACTCTATTATTCATCCCGAACGGATAGCTGAAGTGCCACTAGTGTCCAGTATGAGTTTGCCTCCATGCCACACCGAAGTATTTTACGATGAATATCTGCAGTGGCCCTCTTAAGGATATGTTTACTGCTTTTTACGGGAACAATCCAAGACTGACTCTGGTGGAAAAATTTCTCCGCCTTATCCATGGATACCCGATAGCATGGACAAATTTTATAGATCGATATTAGAATAAACAAATTCATATAAATCCGCAGTTAAAGGTTCTGCTCTTTCATATAGACTATTGAGTCATGAATCGATCTTCCAAAGTGGTTCGATTGTATAGTTTTCTTACAAGACTTTTTCAAATGCTTGAGATGGGGTCTGTCCTAAAGGGAAGCTCCAGTACTGAACAGAAACCGATTGGTAATTCAAACAATCGAACAGGCCCATCTCAAGGTAATCACCCTTCCAGACGAGTAAATACACACCACTCCAAATCGAATAGAATGAAATGTAATGTAACGAAGTTTTCCACTCAGCTGGGGTAAGTTAAACCTTGCCAAGGGCTTCCTAAGATAACAAACACGATATTTCGGAAGCTACAACAAATTTATTAGTTATACACACTATATAAATCTCTATATTTCTACTGTACATATGTCTACAAATTTTCTCGCCGCGGAGCTGAAAAAACCTCAGTGGAATATAAATAAGGGAGGTGAAACTCCTCAGGAACACCACATTTGCCGAAGGTATTGATTCCCTGGGTATACCTATCGACGTCACATGGGCTACTTAATTTTCCTTGAATTTTTCTCGGAATTTTACGATTCCGAGCGCAGTTTTCCTTTAAGCTATGTGGGTGTATGTATATACGTGTTCATATGAATTCATATTTGAACATGTTTCTGCTTGTAAAGTAAAGCAAATACGTATAAAGCGGAATTCATAAAATGTGGACGTATGTACTTTTGTATATATTGTTGCGAAAATGCGAGGCGAATGTCAGATGAAAGAGAGAAGCCGATAACTAGTACATTCTAGAAACGATAAAACAAGAACCTTCCATAGCGAACAATTCGATGCTTCTAAGCTTTCGTCTGCGAGCAGCCGACTGCTATATAAGGGCGACACTCAGCTGCAAGTTAAGTTAGTTACAAAGTGAACTGGTTGGCGTTAACATCAGTAAAGTCGTAAAGTAAAAGCGTTGGAAATTACATTTAAGTAAAGTAAATTGGGAAAGTTGATGCTACTGATTGTACAAAGAAAAATGCATTATAATTGAATTGTGAATTACTGAGAAAATAAAGGACATTAGATTAATTCTTTATAACGAAAGAAACTGAAAATTAAGTTGGCGAGTTTTTATTTAACAATCCACAGATCGTACCCGAAGGATTCAGAAAATCATCGAGGTTGATTTAGTAAAATCGTAACAATATTTATGTATATAATTACATGTTAGGTGTGCACTTAAAATAATATATTATTTATATATAAATTTATATTTGTATATGTATGTACATATTATCAAATTCAAATTACTTTTATACGTATATACATATATTTTCTTGTGTGGTTGTAAAATCTCCAAAATCTAAAATTTTGGGGTCCTTACAGTAAATTGTGTTCCTCACAAACACCCAGTTTTAAAACCTATCCAGTATTTCTTGAACTGATTCCTCTTTACCTCTGTAGTTCATGAATTGAAAAATTGTAAGAGCTATTGCACATGATTAAAATGCTAAAAACATCAGCAGCAGTATAACACTTTATAATGTACAAGATAAAGAGGAACTAACCAGTTCCAAGAACTAACAGAGGGCTTTTAACTTTCACAAAGCAATGTATGATATTAGGAACTGTTGTGGTAACGATTTATTGCAATAATAAGACGTTTAGAGATTCGGTATCCGAAGGATCTTTCATCTCGGAGAGCTTACGAAAACGACTAAATCTGCCGAATAAAATTATTAGCGCTCTTGTCTACGGTATAATGATGCCGTATCCGGAAAAGTACATAAAGTGTGTCCTATAAAAATTGGTTCCCCCGAAATAGAGACTTCAGGACTACAGTCGATGCTATGGTACTTTCTAAGCTGACGAGTTGTGTAAGGAGTTCAAAATCTTATACCTTGGAGCACTTACAACGACATATGAAAATATATGTACGTAGGTATAAAAGCAATTCGCTTTACTTGCACAAGGAGAAACATGTCCAAACATGAATTAATATGAATATGCATATACACACACACACATAGCTTTAAGGAAAACTATTTTTAGTAAAAATTTGTTTTTAATAAATAAGATTTTGCCTGCGCGCAGGATTGTATAAAAGGGGAGGAAAATCTAAAGGAATTTAAGTAGCCTTTGTATTGCCGTTAGGTATACTTGCCCGTGGGGTCAACGGCACCGGCAAACGTAGTGTCCCAGAGGGTTTTCATCTCACGAACACTTATTTATACTCCACTGCTCAATGGAAAAGAAGCTAGCGGAGGGTTTTCACCTCCACAGCCCATACGAGAAGTAGTAAATGTGTAGAGATATATTAGAGATCTTATTTATATATATTGTTTATAACAAAATAAATTTATTGCAGCGTAAATAGCGTGTTGTTATTTTAGGATAACCTTGGTAAAGCTAAGCTTACCCCAGCCTAGTGGAAAAGTCCGTTACAGTTGCAGGATTGCGATCCCGCACTCAGATGCATGGAGCAAATCGAGTTTCTAAACTTATGCTTCGAGATAATAACGGGGGTCAGCCAGAGCTCTCTTCCCTTGCAGAAATTAAAAATATGCCACCAATCCCAACCACGGTTAGGTCGCTTAGTGAGTCAAAGCTTATTTGATACATCAGAGGATATAGTATTTTAAATCCCAAAATATTTTGAACTGAAAAAAAAAAAATTTTATACAGCTCATCACTGAGCGATATCTACATAAAATCGAGTGGAAAATAAAGGCAGAAGTGCACTAAAAAAATCAAAATAAACCCAAACTATAGGTTCCAAAATCGCTTGTGGTGGCTTTTTTGCTGCTTGATATTTTCCATTGAATCGAAACTTTGTAGGTCCTGAAGCGTTTTTTGGTAGAACTTCTTCTCCGATTTAAGGTTTACGTCTTGATGTTTTTGTAACAACTGAAGTTAAATACAAATTTTTCGAAGTCGCCTCCTCATGTCATAAATACACTCGGAAGGCTTGACATTCCCTGTCAATGGGCGACTACAATTAGAAAATGAACTGTGGCTGAGAACTCAGATTAATTGGCTCTATATGAATCTATGGCCTCTCCTCTCATTTAGTTTGCGAAACTGACTTTTCAAGTACGCAATTGTTCATATAATCGATTTTACTTGAAAAATACTGTCTTATAATATGAACTCAGTATCACAATTTCAATATTTTTGGGTCCGACGGCATGTGTTACGTTTGGCGCAAAAATAGTAGAGAGAGTCTTGGCGTAAAAGAAAAATTCCGATTTTGCCAAGATAACGACCCAAAACACAAAGCATCAATCCTGGATCAAACGGAAGTGTTCCCGGGCAAAGGCTTTTACACGAAATATTAGAATTTAAGATTGAAAGAGATTTTGAAGATACCATATAAGTTCAGCCGGAAACTTAATCCTGTCATTTTCTTACCAACCACTCTATTAAGAAAATTGCGGCTAATTGAATAATACAACAACAGATTAGTCAGAATCCGTTGGTTCGATCCTTGTCAGATGTGGGGATTTCCGAAATAGCTATCACTTCTACCATCCATTTTATTTGTTGTGTAACAAAAAATATGAGCATATTTAAGTATATATCATTTTATAAATTTCACAAATATTTAATGAAATTAAAAAAAATTATCAGAAATGTTTAATAATAACTATCTTCATGGTTATATTTATCTTACATAGACTTTATCAATTCTACATTTATCTAGGCGGTATATCCTCATTTTACATGCAATCTTTCTCATTCTTCTCACTGTAAAAGTGCGGTGAAATACTCTTTCGGATTTGTTTTTTGAAATACGCTATTATAACACAAGGCACCTGAACAATTTGTTGTAAGTTCTCTGTTTATCATAACCGAATTATACAATAGATATAACTGCCACAAGTTGGTGACGTTTGTCTCTCTGGTTGTGTGCTAATCAGTTGAAAATTTTAAATTTTGGCAGTCAACAAAGAAACTGAAATTTTTCGTAGTGAGTGCAAACGTCAAAATTTTTATTGCTTTCAATAAAGAACATAACCAAATAACAATAAAAACAACAAATAACATTTGGTCGCCAATTTTACGTTATTTTAATTTAAAAAAGCATGTGGCTGCATGCCGTACAATATAAAAAGCCAATAACTCATACTTGTCTGATTGGAAAAGATTCTTAAATGTGTCCGAATTTTCCTTTTTAAAAACGAAGAATTAACAGCAAATCAGTAATTAAATGAATTGCTACTGTGATAACATCATTAGTAAACAAAAGTATTTTCATTTAATATAATTAAAATATTTTATTGTGGTGTAAAGGTATGGAGTCAAGCTTCTGGCTATGCTGTTACAGTTGCGAGGCTATGCTCAATTCCTTCTCTTCCGTCAACGTCGCGGAACGTGACTAACCCTTGTCTAAGATGCGGTAACCAATTCGTGGTGAGCCTTGGATCCCGGCCAACGAGATCGGAAGCTTCAGTGGAGCCATTCCGACTAATTCAGTGTGAGGATCCGCTGAAGTCTAATTGCAGAGTCTGTTCACTGAGGTGCAGCTTTAAAACTTACTCGCCTGGCGAGGTTTCACGACGGAAGAAAAGGCCGATTCGGCCAAAGACATTTTTAGAGCAAAAATTGTGCTTGGCGATTTTATCGCCAGTGGTCAAAAAACGCCCGTCAACAAGCACAAGAGAGACTTCGAAAAGCTGCAATGGCAAAAACTACAGATCAGTGCTCTCATCACACAAACAGCCATCGAATTCGCCACTCGGGTCTCACGTCACTGTTGACAGTATTAAATTCGAGGTCGTAGATAACATCGTCTATCTAGGAACACCAATAATAATGTCAGCCTTGAGATTTAGCGCAGAATCACTCTTGTCAACAGGTACTGCTTTGGATTGATCGCTCCCGTCCTGCTATGGAAAGGTTTTGCGTAAGATTTTTGGTCCTTTGCGTATTGGCAACGGCGAATATCGCAGACGATGGAACGATGAGCTGCACGGCGACATTGGCGTGGTTAGCTAATCAAAAAGCAGCAGCTACGCTGGATAGATCATGTGGTACTGATGCATGCGAATACTTCAAATTTAAAAGTTTGCGACGCAGTACCCGCCGGTGGAAGTAGAAGAAGAGGAAGATCCCCATTCCACTGGAAATCCAAGTAAAAAAGAACCTGGCTGTACTTGGTAAGCCAATTGGGGCCAAACAGCAAATAGAAGTAACGAATGGCGCAATGCTATTAACTCGATTATAATCGCGCAAGCGTTGTCTATGCTAGCAAGGTAAGTCTTACTTGGCCTCTTATATACATATATGTAGGCTAACTATACTAGTTGCGCTAATTTTGCTGTCTAAATCTTAAATAATATATTTTAAAATATTTATCGATTACATTGTTGCCGTGTTGGTAAGTACCAGAACTATGTTCGAAATAATTGTTTGTCACCAGAGCCTGAAAGCGTGGTAATAAAATTTACCTTGGTATTAAATTTTACCAGTAAGTAAATTTTGTTTCTATATCGTATTCAGTTTTGTTACCCTCCAAATAGGTAACAAACAATCTGTTGTTTGATTTTGTATTGGAAATTGGGGAAGAATAAAAAACAAAACGCATTGACATATTTTACGACTATGAACGCTTAAGAAGTTTGCGAGAAAAAATTACCCTCTTAATTTGGAAGATAAAGTTTTCATTCAGTTTTTTTTTGTCGTCCTGTCATATTTTCCATAATTATGTTCAATAATTTATGACTTAAAAACAAAAATAAATAAAACATTTTGTTGTGCCAACTCGCAAATGTAATTTGACCCATTCAAAAATTATGCTTAAAAATTTAAGCATTGCGAAGAATTACTACGCCTGAAAAGTTTCATATTAAGGTGCAGGACTCTACCCTCCCAGAACAGGCTAAAGGGTTCGTCAATGCACTCAAAGGAAACAAATAACCAAGTTTATTTTTACTCGTATTATTTTTCTCTACCGAATACATACAAATTGAAGTACAATTCCGCTAAACCGACTATTCGTTTTATTTTATGTTCTTATTTTCGAGTAGAACGCCAATTTATCGTTTTCTCTGTTGCAGATAGAAGTGGCAAATTTGGATAAGGATCCAAAGCAAGCTGTGCTAGTAACTTCATTTTTCATTACTTTGACTGGAATGGACGCTTCTCACCTCACAGTAGTAGCACATCCAAAAATATTCACCATAGCTTTGCGAGGAACAATTGCGCCTTGATTTACTAACATTCTGATTCAAACATTAATTATTTATTCTACCTAGGCATCTTTAAATTTCAGAAAGGTCGCTATTATGACGGAGGCGTTCGTAGAGCTGAGGAGCTGAATCACCAACGCATGACACTATTAAACACTTCTGCATATACGGTTTTGTTTACAATATATTGCAGATTTTTGAAAACGATTTATTGTTATATTGTTATTTTTTATGCCATACAAACCATATACATGATCTAAGTAAAAATATTCGAATAAAGACGGAATCTTAATTATGTTTGGATATTTGATTATATGTAGGGGAAAATATTTGACAAAGCTAATTTACTTCGGGTTCAATTAGAATATAAGCGTCTCTGTGGACGGTTTAATAACAGTCGAACAAACTTGGCCATCGAATGCGGTAAAGATTTCTTTAATTTTATCTTTAATCCATATCATACCTAACTCCCTTGGCTGTAGACAGGAAGTACTCTTCCTTCTTCTTCTCTATTGATTTCGCAGTTCACTCTCCACCTGATCTTTCCAACGGAAGAGATATGCGATATTTAAGAGGCTAATTCCACGGTAATTGACGCATACTGTGTCACCACCATTAGTTCTAGGGCTTTAGTCGTCTTCGCTACAACAAGATAGTGATCCGAATTGATGTTAGGACCTCGAAAAATGCGCACGTGCAAAACACTGAATATTTCTTTTCTGCTTATTACAACATTATCGATCTGGTTAATAGTTTTTCGATCTTGAAACACCTGAGTAGCTGGCTGTGTTTTCTTGTGCTGAAATCTGGTACTACAGTAAACCATATTTCGGGCCCTGGCGAAGTCGATCAGCTATTTAGGGATATTTCGTCGAGAATGAAATTTAGCCGAAGATACCTTTTATGTCCAACCTTGCGTTGAAGTCGCCAGGCTTAATTTTGACATCGTGACGTACTCTTCTCATAAGTACGCTCGAGGCTCAAAAAATACATCCTTGGTCACACCGGGGCAAGGACGCAAATAAGCGTTGTGTTAAAAAATGTAGTTTTGATGCGATTGTGACAAGACGTTCATCCACTGGAGTGAATGCCAGTGCTGAGTGACGGAGTCTCTGTCCTACCCCAAATGCGACGTCAAATTTGCGGCCGCTAGGTTGTGCTCCAGCCGCTTTGTTTTTCTTTAAGCGGGCAATAGTAATTCGTACCACAATATAACCGGGTAAAGGTGATTAGATAAAAAAAAAAATAATTCTCGTTTAAATTAATACTATTTTCACTTCTTGGATCAACTGTGAAATTAGCATGCAGCAAGGTTTTATGTTTACCTCTTAGTAACGGTTAATAATGAAACGCATCCAGAAAAAATTAAGAACTGCAAAGCCATAGTTTTTTTCTTTCCGTATCGTTTTATAACCGCAATTGTCGAAAATATACCAGGAAATTCTGAAAATGTAATCCACATTAAGTCCATGAAGTCTTTGGTGTCAAATCTAGAGCATTTATGATTCGGTTCCGCATCGGCTTTATCTTTAAGAAATAATTCGGCCGATATTAGCACTAAGCCGTAGTAGCAAAAAGCGCAGGACATCCACAGAAACCACAACAATAAGGTTTTCTTTCTCAGCTCCGGCTTAAACAGAGTTCGCATTTGAAGAGGGGAATCAGTTTCAAAATCGGTAGCCAAACGTCCAATAAGCATTTGGCGGTTATTGTCCTTCGCGATCTTGAAATAAATAAAAAAATAAGTATTTTAACGTGTAATTTAATAAAATTCTTCATGAAAAATAAAAAAAAATACTAAAAGTTTGGTTTTATAGCGAATATTGTGCATTCAAATTCAAAATTGAAATACAAAAATCAATATCAGTTAATTAATTAATATTTTACAACAGTCAATGAAAAAAATTACAACAATTATAAAGCATTTCATATATGTAAATTATTTTAATAACATGAATACAAAGTGAAGTTACTACGGCAATGAATTCAAGTTTTTTCGTGCAATTAAAGTTGTGATTGCCAAACTAGTTTTCTTTTATCTTCTTTACTGTCGTTGCCACCGCTTACGCGATTATAGCCACGTGAAACCGGGTCACTCCAACGAAGTGGAGGTCTTCCTCTCCTCTGATTCCACCATCGGATACTACATCGAATACTCCCAAAGTTGGAATGCTTTCATTAATTCGGATGACATAACCTAGCCAGCACAGCCACCGTCTCTTCATTTGTGGAACTATGTCGATATCATCATATAGGTCGTACAGTGCTTCGTTCCATTGTCCGAGGTATTCGCCTTTGCCAATCTGCAAATGACCATAAATCGTTCGCAAAACTTTTCTTCTTAATATTAGAGCGCTGTATGGCTATACCCGCTTTGTAAGCTACTCGGTAACTCAACGTACGGTAATAGAGTAGAGCAAGCTCTTGTTTTTCTTTAATGCTCTATTCGTTTGTGCCGGCAGAGTAAATATACCGTACCGCTCTCACGAGCTAATGAAAATTTGCGTACTAATCCAAAATCTGCGAGTTTAAAAACGACTTCAAATTGGTACAGCAAATAAATATAGGTATATGTAATAAGCATTATTAAAATTATAATTATATTGGATATTGATGAGGATAGTAATCAAAGATTGTATTGCATTGTGTGTATTATATTATGTACACCTAATTTTATTGAAATGTTGTAGATGCTCACATGTATATACGTACATAGTATGTATTTTTACGTTTCATTTATTATTTTCCAGTTTACTCAATTTGCAATTATTTTTATTTAACTAAGACGAATCATTTTCTGCTCACGAAATATAAATTATAGCGTAAAGTTTATTTTTCGTTAAACAAATTTTACAGGCAAGGTAGTCTCCCTAAAAATAATAATTTTTCAACTTTCTAAGATTAAAAAAAATTATTATAAAAATGCTAACCTTTTGCATGTAAACAAAAAATAAAGAATAATAAAACGCACTCACAAAAAATTTAAAGTCCTTGCGTAGTCTTTCTGAAATCGAATGGAAATAAGATTATTTTCCGGTGGTTTAGCATTTATTATAAAAAAAGTATACAAAATAATTTTAAAGTGGCAATATACAAGTTAGAATGAAAATAAGATATGTTGCCAAAAAATCTTTTTCTGTCAAATTTAAATATAGTGCAACTACCTTCCCTGTTTTGTATCGTGGGCATTTCATAAACATAATGTTTATTCCTAATATTAAGTAGCAATTTCTTTATTTTGAAGAAAACAAAAAAATTAAATAATAATAACTCTCAGTGGAAAAAAATATCATGAAATAATTTTTACATTAAGATATTTATTGTTAACTTAAAACCGTTTCTGAAAAATATAATGGTAAAATGTCTCATACAACGCAATTCAAAAAGCCATGCAATACCTATACATAATCAATTGCTTCAATTTCCATTAAGACAAAACAAGCCACTGGAAACACTTCAAAAAGTGTCTTGATTACCGCAAGACATAGCATTTAGATGCAGAAGTAACGCTCTTTTTTCGTTCTCGTTCGCCGAGAGATTACTGGCCTACTCAGTTCGCGATAGCCCCTGTTGGCAACAACGCTTCTGAGTTGTCATCAGTGAGGTGGGAACCGAATCGCGAATACGATTACTGTTTGCCCGCCACATGGAAACCAGCCCCAATGAAAAAATGTTAACATGAAAAAAATGACATGCAAAAAAGGTATCTTTGGTACGACTGCTGAAAAAGTCAACCTTTCCAGCGCCAAACAGCAAAAAAAAGAAACGAATGGCGCAACGTTGTCAAATCGGCCATAATCGCGTAAGCGGTGTCTGCGCCAGTAAAGTAAGTAAGTTACTTGGCACACAGAAGCGCATGCGTATATTCGCTGCATCAAGATAGTGGTCGGAGTCGATGTTGGGTTCTCGGAGTGTACGCACGTCAAGATCACTGGAGACATGTCTTCCGTCCACCACAGCATGATCGTTCTGGTTTTGGTTTTTAGATCAGGGGACAGCCGAGCAGCTTAACTTACCTTTTATGGAATCTAGTACTACAGACTTTCGTATTTCGGGCCACGGCGAAGTCGATCAGCCTCTACCCATTAGAGGATTTTTCGTTGTGAATGCTGAATTTTTCGACAGTTGTGCATAAGATACCATCTTTGCCCACCATGGCGTTGAAGTCGCCAAGCACAATTTTGATATCGTGGCGGGGGCAGCGTTCTTAAGTATGTTCAAAACGCTCATAAAAGATATCCTTGGCCACATCGTTCTTCTCTTCCGTCCGGGTTTGGGCGCAAATCAACGATATGTTGAAAAATTTTGCTTTGATGCGGATTGTGGCGAAACCCTCATTCACCGGTGGGAACGCCAGTTCTCGACGACGGATCTCTCCCACCACAAATCCAACACCAAATTCTCTTCATTTCGTCCTTGTCCCGTCCATCGCACTTCTTGGGCGATGATGATGTCAGCCTTTATTCTTACGAGAACTTCAACCAGCTGGGCAGCGGCACCTTCCTAATTACGGTACCGGACATTCCAGGTGCATCTCCTCAAATCGTGATCCGTAATTCTTTGCGGGGTCGTAAATTGAAAGAGGGTATCTCATCCGAGACGTTGGTAACTTTTTCATTGGAGCTGGCTTCTGCGTAGCGTACAACCTCGCCTGGCGAGTAAGTTTTAAAGTTTTAACACTTTTATATAGCGAACCGCTTGCTCCAAGACCGACGCCCGCTCGCAGCCGCTCCTCTGGGGAACAGACGCTGCAATTAGACTTCAGCAGAGTCGAATTAAACGGAGTGACTCCACTGAAGCTTTCTCTCTCATTACCCGTGACCCATGGCCCCACACGGGTTGGTTACCGCATCTTGCACAAGGGTTGCCCACGTTTCCAGGGTGCACGACGTGGACACAAGAGTAGGAATTGAGTATAGCCTCGCAGCTATAATAGCATAACGCGAAGTACTATCGATAATTGTTAAACCGTTTGATATAGCAAGCTAACTCAGTCTAGTAATCGTCACAGCAAAAATTATCATGCAGCAAATATGGCTCCACAAATCAGACTGGGATGAAAGTCTTAAACCCTTAACCTTACATAGATGGAAAACATTTATTAAGGAATATGAGATAATAATAGATATTTCAAGGTGGACCCACTTCTCAACTTCAGTGGTCATAGAGTTTCACGGATTCTCTGATGCGTCTGAAAAAGCGTACTCCGCAACTCTTTACATTCGAATTTCTACAAACGGGATTACTTGGACCACCCTTTTAGCATCGAAAACCCAGGCTAGAAATATGTGGAGCCGTTGACAAAACTACTCACCCAATAACACTACATGGAGGAAACCAGTTACGACTCATTCGTACAGAATTCTGGATCCCAAAACTGAAGGCCCTTATAAAAACAACGATTAATCAGTGCAAAACTTGCGTGCTGTACAGAAAAACCCAAACTACTCAAATCATGGCAGCATTACCAGTTGAACGTACCACCATAACCCGCCCATTCGAAGCAACAGGAATTGATTTCACTGGACCTTGCGATATAAAAAACTACTAATTACCAAGGGATATATATGTGTTTTCGTTTGCTTTGCGACCAAAGCAATACTCTCAGAACCAGTAAGTGACATACTACAGAATCATATATGGCAACATTCACACGATTTTTCTCGAGGCGCGGATGCCCCGCCGATCTTTATTCGGACAATGGAAGGAACTATGTAGGAGCTTCGCAACTGTTACTCAAAGATCGACGAGAATTCAGGAAAACCTTCAGAACCCAAATATGAATGCGTCAACCACACCAAAACATCAGTGGCATTTTAATCCTACAGGAGCTCCTCATATGGGTGGCCTATAGGAACCAAGAGTTAAAAGCTTAAAAAGACACTTGAAAAATGTGACATAGAGCTGAGAACTCACTTTCGAAGAATTAGCAGGTTTATGGGGTACCCGATTTGAAAGTTGTTTGAATTCTCGCCCCTTAACCTTACAAGTATAGAGCCTTTAACCCCAGACTATTTCCTAACCGGTAACCCGTTACTCACCAAAGCTGGACCCAATCTAGAAATCGCAAAGCTCAGTACCGTGAATAGGCACTTCTGTAAGAAAGAAGAATACCTAAAAGAACTCCATAAGCGTTATAAGTGGAAATCAAAGTAGAAGTTGGGGATTTGGTATTTATTCAGCAAGAAACCCTACAAATGAATGGAAATTATATTGTACAGAAAATACTTACCACGGGTCCCAGAACTAGGCATTATTTCAAACGGGATTCGATCGCTACATTCTTGTAAAAAGGAAACGGTTACCCCAAAAAAATAGTGAACAAAATCAAAACAAAATTGTAAAAACTACAAGAGATAAAGACAGCATGAGCAATAATCGATTTCAATTGCTTTCTGATGCTGATGATCAAGTGCGTGTGGAGAAAACGTCCAAGCCGCCGACAATTTATCTCATTGAAGCGAACTCTGGCAACCTTGTCAACAAACGTTGTCCCAATTAAAAAGGGAAATATCCAGAAAGTGAAAGTTCAAACTTACGAAGAAGATAGCTATCGCAAGGTGGCAAGTAATTTCGTAAAGGAAAAGAAGTCCTTTTAAATCTTCCTGTTTAAGCACGCCACGTTAAGTAGATTTGTAAACGCCGTGAGCGCCAACTTCCCTCCCTCCCTTCACGCGGTTATCCTTCTTTCCGTGTATGCTGTTAGCCAAACTATCGTTTAACCGCGGTAGTTTGAGCTAACAAAGAAGAGTATGCAAAATCAACCAATTACGCGCGCGCACAGCGTAATTTATCGTGGCATCTCCATTATCAGTACACACCCAAATTGTGAAAATAATAGTGATTTAAAAGTAATTATTGGAAGTGTTTGTGCTCATAAAAGAAAAAAATAAAGACTTTTATTTCTCTCAGCCCATTAGCACCAACTTAGGGCAACTTAAATATGGTCCTTCTAGACCAAAATTGAACAACCTGAAATTATACAGCCCACAACCGTCGCTCCCCGGTGCGTTCGCTTAAACAAAAAAAATGTGCTGTGCAGTGCAAAAAAACAATTTATTTCCATTTTTTTAACTGCAATGACGTTTTTGGATGACGGGTTTTCATTCCCGCCAAAAACATTAAATTTGAAATTTAATCCGCTAATTCTTAGCAAATTTCTTATTGCAGGCTCTAAGGTCATTGCCTCATTAACCTACTTATTCTACAATAAATGTAACGCTCTCATTTTAACACTCTTTATCATTGCTATTTCTCAGTATTGGTTAGCTGCATTTCTCTTTGGCAGCAAATACAATAAATCCAGCCATTGATACACCAATATATATATTGTTACAAAAATGCGAGGCGAATGTCAGATGAAAGAGAGAAGCCGACAACTAGTACATTCTAGAACGATAAAACGAGAACCTTCGATAGCGAACAACTCGATTATTCTACACTTTCGTCTACGAACAGCCGACTGCTACTCTTTATAACGAAAAAAACTGCAAATTAAGTTGGCGATATTTTATTTAACAATCCAGAGATCGTACCCGTAGGATTCAGAAAATCATCGAGGTTGATTTAACAAAGTCGTAACAATATATACATATATATTTTCATATAGCGCACATATATATACATAAACGAGTGCGTGCATAAATAATCCCAAAGATACAAGTCCACCATCCCGTGTGGAACCCACTTCAGAGCAATCAAATGCTTCCAATGTCTTTTTACAAGATCCTCCTTGTGTCACAGAGATATTTTATGGGGGTTATGAAGAATGGTCGGCTTTCCGTGACATGTTCACAGCCGTGTACATTTACCACCCGAAGCGCTCCCGTGCTTTGAGTGACGATAATTTCGATCTGGCTTGGGAAGCGCTTCGGTCTAAATATGAAAACAAACGCATTTTAGTAGATAATCAGGTCAAAATTTTATTGAACTTGCCTGCGGTTCAATCCGAGAATAGCAAACAAATACAAAGGCTTCAAACAAGTATTAACCACTGTCTGTCTGTCTGGTATACATTTGTTCAACAAAATTACCAGAAACAACTCTGTCACTTTGGGAACAATCGCTCTCATCAAGACGAGACCTACCCCAATGGTCTCAATTAGACGACTTTCTAACTGCTCGGTACGAAGTAGTAGAAAGACTAAATAGGCTTTATCCTAATAAGCCAAAACCCAGTGCTCCATATGCTGCTCAGCAAAAACCTTTAATTAGGACACAAAACTTTATGGCAGAACCAGGTGTGCAACTCCAGCCACCCCCTAAAATTCTGTCAAAATTCCGAAAAATGTCAGAACAAGAACGTTTTAAGGTGGTACAAAAAAACAACCTATGTAAAAATTGCCTTGCTTACAACCATAATGTCAAAGACTGTAAGAGCAAGTTTACATGTGCGAAATGCCAACAAATGCATCATACTGTTCTTGCGCAAAGTACCATATTTGGATGGATACTTAGTGGTTCGATGGCTCAATTTTACTCCGGCACAGGATACCCAAATCCATGGGTTCTGCGATGCCTCGGAAAAAGCCTTCTGTGCAACCATATATGTGCACAGAGAAACAAATACTCATGCAACATCCACCCTACTGGTTGCAAAAAGCAAAGCTGCACCTTTGAAAACGATAAGTCTTCCTCGCTTAGAGCTGTGCGGAGTAGTCCTGTTAGCAAAACTGACTGCAACTGTCCAAAACCTGCTAGGCTTAGAAGCGTGCAACACATTTTTATGGCATGGATCGAAAAACCACCGTGCACATGAAGACATACGTGTCTAATCGTACCCCCCCAAATTCGGGAATATGTCCCAAGCGGAGTATGGCGCCATGTAGCAAGCGAGGATAGTTCCGCTGATCTCGGCACACGGGGTTGTAAGCCCCAAGACTTAGCCACCAATTCGCTCTGGTGGCAGGGATCAAAGTGGCTCATGCACCACATGGAATCTTGGCCTAATTCAAAGGCACGCAGTTGCTCTCCGCCGGAAAAGCGAAAAATTGAGGACTTTCATGCGCTCGAAGAAGAGCCCGATTTTTTCGATCGATTCTCTTCACTCCCTCGAGCAATTCGCGTGACTTCCTATATGTTTCGTTTCGTGAACAATGTCCAGAATAATTCAAAAATGCAACCGATAACTACCATGCCACATCTGTCTCATGCTTAATGCCAATTCGCAAAGCAGCGTTTAATCGAAGTATCGCAATCTCGCTATTTTTCTGGCGAAAAAGATGCGTTACAAAAGAAAAAGCCAATTGACAAAAAAAGTTCACTCCTCAACCTGAATCCATTTCGGGATAAAAATGGACTTCTCCGTATCAATGGCAGGCTAGCGCATGCCACACTCAGCTATAATAAGCGGCATCCAATCATCATCCCAAATGCATCAAGACTTTGACAATTACATTTGAAGTTCCTACACGCACTGCTCCTCCATGCAAAAACGCGCCTCATGCTTCAAATGGTCAGGCAAGAATACTTCATACCAAAGCTAAAGCCTTTAATAAAAAAATGCAATTTTCAATGCAAAGCTTGCACTCTATACAAGCAACAAACGCGCTCCCAGCTAATGGCCGCTCTACCCCTTGAGCGGTGCACTATGTCCCTACCATTCCCTGTAACTGGAGTGGACTTCGCAGGACCGTTTTAATAAAGGCCTCAGTTTTAAGATCCGCTACACTCATCAAAGGGTACGTTGCCGTATTCGTTTGTTTCGCGACGAAGGCAGTGCATCTTGAGTTATGCTCTGATCTTACCACTGAGGCATTTAGAGCAACATTCGCCCGATTTGTGGGCAGGCGAGGATATCCCGCCAAAATGATGAGCGATAATGGAAAAACGTTCATCGGAGCACAGAGATCAACTGAACGTGAATTCGTCAAATTCCTTAACGAATGTTCAGTAGATATTACCCAGAAGTATGCTCCCCAAGGTATCAATTGGCAATATAAACCCAACACGAAAGTTGACCACAATTGCAGCTTAATTGGTTAAAAAACTAAAGTTACCATTTACGCGTCAAATGCAATAGTCTCGTCACAAACGAGCTACCAACCCGACCCTATGATTGTGACTTAAGTGGTGAAATCATCAAAAGTTTCGACCACCCAGTCTTCGCTGATCCCGAATTCATAACGACAGACAAAGTAATGGTCGAAAAACCGAACTCGGTTGGACTCTAATCGGCACAATTTGAAGCAGACTCTTAGTATTCAAAAAACCCATTTTATTTCTCTTCTTATTTTTTTCTTTAAATTCTATATTTAACCAAAATTTTTATTCGCAGATCATGCAAGGCAGCCGGGAAGTTTGTACCCAATAAACCCATCCCTGCATTGTCCTCAAAGCGAATAAGAGGACAATGCAAAAACACATAACAGCGCCAACATAAATATAGTTTTTGGTTTTTGATAAACATCGAAATAAAAAAAATTAAAACAGTGAAAGTAGTGAAGTTCAGCGCAGCCCAAACAACAACAACCACATCGTTGAAAAAATAAATCTTGAACCCACAGGTCACAAATAAATAAAGAATACACTAATCCAATAAATATATAATATTGTTGTACAAAACAATTAATTTGAATTGTACGCACACACACACATATGCATATACATATATAAAAATAAAAACATATTTATAACGTGTAAATTTAAAACTCCTTTTTTTCTTTTTATTCGACACGCCCTCGACACTTTTGTTGATCCAACTGGACTGGTTTTTAAATGAATATTTTGATTCCCTTTGACTAACGATTGAGTTTATAAACTATGATGACTATATTTAACGGTCATGACGTAGTCTTTAAACTTTTCATGAATATCTTATTTATAGCATTGATGAAATCAGTTGTGTAGAGGTTACTTGCTGTAAGATGTTTTTTAACGAATTTATGAGTCAAAATCTCAAATCTTAGTAAACGGTCGTATATACGTTATAGTGAGCCGATCTGCCCTTTTCCGATCAATATACTATAAAAATGTATCAGCATACCAAATTTGTCTGATGCGTTAATGCCTTGGATTAAAGTAAATTTACCATTTCATGTTGTTCATCGCTTAAGGAAAAAAATAGATTTAACATATTGACAAATTGAATATTCCCAATCGTCAGCGATTCAAAAAATATACTAATTTTTATAAACAAAGTTCTTTCTTATGTATATATAGTTGCATTGAAAGAATTTCGTATTAGGTGGTATTATATGTTTCAAATCTTACCTGATTTAGGACTTGAACCGCTTTATCGTTATTTCCATTTAGTGTATGAAATCTCGCAGATTCTGTAAGCCACTAAAAATTAAAAATAGATTTGTTAATAGAAGTCACACAAAAGAGAAATTAGTTCCACTAAATTAGATTTATGAAAAATCTGCTCAATTTGGATTTTTTTTTTGTCTTTACTACATATTAATAAATACTTTTTAATTTTGTATGTTAGAAAAGAGATAATTATAAACATAAGCTTAAGGGAACTCCTACATACCGCCGCTACAGAAACAATAAGACAATGACAATAAGGAATGTCGAACTGCAGTGGAAAGAAAACAGAGTGCCTACCTCACAACGTTACTGCTATATGAAATGTGTGCAAGAGCTACCGAAAATTGAAGAGACAAGCAATACCTATGTGCAAACAGAAAAACGGAGTTTATGAAAGGCATGCGAAATTGGCCGACGAGGGTAATGCTCTAAGAATCTACGAAAAAGACTGCAACTTGCCGAAGGCTTCAGGACTGAAGCAAACTCCTGTAGAACCCAAAGAGGTGATCCAGCGGTGGATTCCCAAAGTATTATACTGAATTTAAGACGGATCCGACCCCTGAATAACTGTGTAAATTAAAGAAATGGTGAGCCGGAAACCCCAATCGATATTGATTGAAAAGACTTTATACTATTCGACTATTACGAAGTTCGAATAAATAACGGCAACGTGGCTGGAGACGATGGCCTACCAGTAGAGTTATGCAATTATGGCGGCGACAAACTGACAAGGTGCATACATCATGTTATTTGCATAATATGATTAGATGGATACATGTCCATCGACTTAAGTATGCTCTGCAAGATCTACAGAGAGAAAAGCCTCAACGTCTGCGTCAATTACCATGGGGTTTGGCTTCTAAATGTCACCCAGGTGTGATTACGATATGCGAAGTCATGAGAAATATCCGACACACACCACCTTTTCATCGCGTTTAGAGAAACAAGATAAAATCTTTTACAAGAGCGTAAAATTTCTGGGGTATGCTGATGACATTGATATCAAAGGCCGAAATTTCTCATCATCAAGCGATCATTCAGTCTCAGTCATAACTTCAAGATCGTAAATAATTTCGCCTATCAAAGAACCAGCAATAATACCGGTGACAGTAGAATCGTTTTTGTCAACCGACACTACTTTGGACTGAGCAGGCAATTAAAAAGTAAAGTTCTCTCTCCAAGACCAAACTCTACAAGACCCTTATCATTCCCGCCCTCTTATGTGATGATGAATCGTGGGTTAGAGAGAAATGTTTTGTGTAAGAATTATGGAAAGAGAAGAGAGGAAGAGAAAGGTATCCCTTCGTAGAATTAGGTGGAGAATGACGTAGTTCTAATTGGTATTTCCAACGGGCGCAAAACAGTGAAGAGAAGGAACGAACGCCGCACTTTAGTTGATTCGGCTAAAACACCTTCTTGAAACTACCTGAAACAGACATAAAGAAAACCAGATCGCACAAAATACAGACAGCACCACAAAATGCAGACACTAAACAAATTGACTTCCGAAAACTACTTATCCACTTTGTTCATTTTTTTTGGATAAAATTAAGAAGTATGTTTTAAAATATACATAATATATATTATATACAAACAAAAAATTGAACAATGTATAGATTTAAGACATTATTATTTAAAAAGTATTATCAAAGGGAAGAAAACTCATTTGGATAATTTTTTCTTAAATAGATAGAAAGTTAATAAACTATTGTACTTATGTACAATACAACTACAACTTCCCTTCGTTCAAATTGGAGCAGTATATTTTATGACCGATCTTTTTTTATTTTGTGATGTAGAAGCTTACTGTTATGTAAATGAATGCGATTTTAAATATTTTTTGCGATTAAATATATGTAGGTACTTGCTCGAGACTTAACTATTTCAGGATGCTTTTAGCATGATAATCTACCATTAAAAACATCGTTTGTTTCCTTCATATGATATTTTTGAAAAAGGTTCCTAGATCTACGTTAGCAGTCCATCTGGCATTAAACTGTTAAGTTTTAAGCGGACTAATCCTTTAAGATAGCACATTTCTATCACCAACGGTAGAGATATCCTTTTTCTTAGCAAATTCAGGCGCTCTTCAACATTATTTTTTTACTTGCCCAAAAAATATTACATGAATTAGATTATATTTACAGACCTATTCTGTCGACGTAACAAAATTTATTTCGTATTCTGAGTTCACTGTCACCCAGGAAATTTTGTTACCATCGAAATAGGAGGTAACAAAAAATCTACTGTTTGATTTTGTGTTGATACAATAGTTTGAGAAGAAATAAAAACCAAAATGGGTAGGTATATTTTAGGCCTGGATTGCATTGCAGATGTAGAAAAAGGTGGAAATAGGCGTATGCTAAGAAGTTTGAGAGAAACAAATTACTCTTTTAATTTGGAAGATAGTGTTTTCATTCAGCTTTTTTTTGTGTAGGCATATTTTTTAAAATTAGGTTCAAATATTTATGATTCAATAAACACATAAATAAAACTTTTTTATAAATTATTTTTGGGGCCATGCTATATATTAATTTTTATTAAGTAAACTTCGAGGCCTTGTTGTTGGTATGAATTGAATATTTGTTATACAACAAAGAAAAATGGTAGAAGTGACAGCTGTTTCGGAGATCACCACATCTCCTTATCAGACTTCTTATGGAAGGGATCGAACCAACGGATCCTGACTTAACAGGCGAGTGTTCTACCACTGCGCCAACATCAGCCATATAATCTGTTGTTGTATTATTCAATTCATTATTAACCAACAACTATTTAGCCGCTATTTTGAATTAAAATAGAGTAAAAGTGAGTACTTATATTTAGAGACTACTAATAAAATTATTAACTAAGTAAAAATTCTTCTAAAAGAGTAAGCTTATTGTTAACATATCATATTTTGAAACGATATGTTGATGTACATTATAAACCAAATTATCGCTTCTATCATAAGAATTGTATTTCCTGTGATAGAATAACTTTTTTTTATCTTTGTACAACATATTATTACAGTTAAGGATATTTATATATATAGATGACAAATGTGGTTCAGTAAGAGTATACTCAATATTGTCTTTTTTATTAATGTACGTTTTGATTCGTTCGTTTCCTAGTAGATTTAGTTTGTTTAGGAACCATACTGCATTATCTATAAGATATTTGTCTATACAAGTTATTTTACATTTTTTATATGGGATTCCTTTTGATGTTCTTTTTTTAAATAAATCGCTGTCATGATAATGTTCACGGTTTACGCCAGTACAAATTCTTAGAATGTACCGTTCGAAAATTCGTAAGCTTTTCATTTGGGCTGAGGAAATATTGGTCGAATTATTTGTTTGTAGATATTAATTTTTATAACAGATTTTAAATATTTTGCACGTTTAATAAGGCTTATATATGAAAAGAACATATTTTTTGCCTTTTTAATTATATAGTCGAGGTGGGGTTTAAAATGGAATTTACTTTGCAGTATAACGCCTAAGCATTTCAGTTTTTCTTTAACCGGGATACTATTTCCATTTATTTGAATATTTGCTAAAAAAATTTCTGGCGCTTGGATAGAGATATTTATGAAGCCCTTTGATAGTAATGCATTCGCATTTTGAGGCATTAATTTTTTATTTTCATTTGGAGAAAAAATTAGATAATATAGTTGAATATTTATTTATCATACTATTCGTTTTTTTTTTTTGCATTCTGTAGAGACCCTAATATCATAATAACGTCAGCATATGAAAGGGCAATCATGTTTGTGTTGTCCCTTGGTGGATCGGGTAGATCAGCCATTAATACGTTATACAGAATCGGACCTAGTAGAGACCCCTGTAGGACTCCTGATGCTGCATCCCTTGTCATAGAGTTGCTATCATTCATACTAATAAAAAAATTTGGTCGCTCAAATAATTGTGGATAATACGACTTATCAAATTACAATTGTAATTTCTGAAATTGCTACAACCTTAGCACATTTCCAAGTTTGGGGAAAATATCCTTGTTATATGCATGATTAAATAGAATAGAATAAATCACGCCAAAAATACAATAAGAGTATGTTTGCTATTTGATCATCTTCTTGTTGTTAGGTAAATATGTTGTTGTTTCGACTTCATCCGCATTTGTAAATTGCTTGTAACTATTAAACTCTAGTTCAGTGTGAGGTACACTCGATTTTTAAAATTATAAGGGTATTTACTGAATCTGATTATTGGTAACCTGTGGCTAGCAATATCAGAAATTGACGGTGTGATATTTTTATGAAAATCATGATCCACAGCATTTAAGGCTTGTTTTTGCACTTGTTCAAATCTACAAGCTAATGCGTTTACTTTATCAATTTCAGTCTTCATAAAAGCAGAGCCATCTGATTTTATGGACACCCCTTCGAAGTCTAAAAGGTTTGCATCATCTAATACGAAAACTGGTGATTTTATTCTATTATTAAGCCCTCATAAGCTTTTAATTTTTTTATAGGTCTTGTTGTTCATACGTATTTTCCCAAAATATTTTTTTCCGTAACTCTCTTCATTTAAATGAATTCGATTAAATACAATCTTGATAAGGTTACGAACTGTTGCTATAAGTATTTCCTTGTGTCAACGCAATTTCTTTTTTTCTTTGATAAATTCTATTGTAATATTATTGATGGTAATGATATAAAACCTTTACTACGTATTTCTATCTTACGAAATGCTTGGGAATTTATGAATTTTTCCCATGCAACATTCAAATGAGATATGTAGTTGTCTATTTCATTAGTCTAATGTCAAACAGTTGTTTTTAAACATTGCAGATAGCTGTTGATTTAATTTATCACTGTTAATATTCTTATAATCAATTATTTTTCGGGAAGGTTGTCTAAGTTCTATTGCCCTGTGATCAGACTCAAAATTATGTGTCCTTAGTTTGCAATAATGCTCACTATCATTGTCAAAGCAAACGTGAGAGGAGAAAAAAGGAGACACTATAAATAAGTCCATAAATGAATTACATCCTCCAGAGGTTCTAGTTGGATTAGCAGTGGGTAATACTTTAATTAAAGGGCATTCAGAGCGCCAATTAACACTCTTCCGTTTGGGTTTGTGTAATTATCGCTCCAGCTGGGATGAAGTGCATTTAAATTTCCACCCAAAATAATTTCATTTTTTTCTTGCTTTTAGAGCAATTACATCCCTGCGATAGCTTTACGTTTTCCGTCTGAGATAAGTAGTTCTATTGCCGTAGGTTCAAGGTATGTAGTTCTTTCCACTTCGATCCTATTGTATTGAAAATTTTCTTAAGTGAATATGCCAGTGGATGGGCTATTTTAGTTGTCAGTGTGAGTCTTCATTAGTTGAGGAATATAGCAATAATTTCGAAAAGAGATCTTATATTTATGGCTCAGACGATGCTCAGCCCACTCATACTACATCAGGTTTATACTTTTGTGAGAATAGATTAAAAAATGTATTTTTTGTTTGGATATTAACGAATTTACATTTTTAACTATCAATTTTAATTTATGTCTGTCTATTGTTATTGTTGTTTATTTTTATATTAATAAATAAATTAAAAAAGCCGACGTTCTTTCCTCATCATTTTTAATTTTACTATAGTGTAAGGAGAACTCACCAATTTTTGCATACATTTTGTAAATTGACTACCAAAGAGACGAAGACACTCACCATTCAATGTATTGAATTGATGGAAATATGGTATTCGCTATAGTTAGAAGAGCATAATTCTCTTGTATCAACGGCTTTTGTTTTCATTACATTCTCTTTAACCTAGCATAAAATAACGAGTTTCTTTTCGTTTGATAACTTCAATGCGAACTGGATAGACATTAGAATTGGCAGAGTGCCTTTATGTTTCAAACTTTGCACATTTTAAAGAAATACGTGTTCGCTTCTTAATTTTCTTACGTGTTCGCTTCTTAATATTCATATATATTCTTGGTTATTATTTTCTTTAATTGGTATTGTGCATTCCCAGGGCCGTAGGATTGTGCACATTTTACACACCTATAAGGCATATGACAATTACATGCGAGTACCTCTGGCAGTTTTTGCATTGAATGGGTATAACGGGCTTAAATTTTTCAAGATTTATTTTACAGTTAAGAATATATTTAATATTTTAAAACTCTTCAAAATCGGACCTTTTACTGAGTTGGACTAGCCAATTGTTATTTTTAAATTTAGACAGATTTATATTTCAACACGTTCATAGCTTTGACATAGTTTTTTGATTACAAAAGATATCGGTTTCTCTTCGATTGGAGTATATGTGTAATATTTAGCACCACTTTCAATAAGGTAAGCTTTGATAGATAAAGGTGATAATCTGTACGCAATTTCTATTACTTTTTTAAGGTCTAGTAATTGAAACAATCTATTCATCTTTTTTTTTGTGCCAAGTTAAAACACACAGATACTGATGGTCTACTCTTTGTTTTGGTTGATTTATTGTTGTGGGAAGTTTTCTTGTATATCTGGAGAGTTGGCAATGAGCTGGATGAGAAAATATCCTGTCTCATTACTTCTGTTAAATTTTGAGAGCCTTTCTCTCCTTCATTTGCATTCATGGTATTGTTCCTATAAATGACGGAATCCGTTGTAATTCCAAAATTTTCAATGATCATTGGGCTGGTCTCACTTAAAATCTCGGTTTCATTTGGGTTGTTGTTTTCGATATTATACGCTACATTCTGAATTGGCTCATTGATTGATTGACATTTTCTTCGCGCATGGTTAAGAGTACTTGTTCGTTAATCCTTCTTTGAATGTCTTTGTCCATTTGTAATTGAGTTAATGCTTTTTTTAGTTCATCCATTTGAGAAACTAACGATTGCAAAGTAATATTTTGATATAAAAAATTTTGGGTTTTATGGGAGCTTGAATTCGCTGATTCTGAGTTTCTGGACTTTTTGCGCCTTTTCTTTGATGCTGACCTCTGCCAAACATTTCCATAGCAGTTAAAACACATTTAGGCGGCTGAAATTCTATAGGCTAAGCATAATTAAGTATCCTCTTCTATATTGGCGTTGGCACCGCTTACGCGATTGTAGCCGAATTAATCTCTTCTTCTCGCTGTTTGGCGCCTTTCAGCGGAGTGGAGGTCTTCCTCTGCTTCCCCCGGCGGGTACTGCATCGAAAACTTTCAAAGCTGGAGTATTCGCACGTATCCGCACCATAAGACCAAACCAGCGTAGCCGCTGCTCCTTGATTCCCTGGACTATGTCCTAACGCCGTCTCATCAAATGCTGTCATCGTCCATGCTTCCGCACCATATAGCAGGACGGCAACGATGAGCTACTTGTAAAGTTTGGTTTTCTTCGCCGAGAGAGGAATTTACTATTCAGTTGACTTCTCAGTCCAAGGTAGCACCTGTTGACAAGAGTGAGCCTGTGTTGGATTTCCAGGATGAAATTGTTGTTGGTGTTAATACTGGTTCCAAGATAGACGAAGCTATTTACGACTTCAAAGTTATGACTGTCAACAGTGTCGTGGGAGCCGAGTCGCTAATGCGCAAGATTTGGCACATGGTGAATATCTGGACAATGGTTGACTTACCAGGTCTGCAGCCACACTGATAAGATCCAATCCGTTTGTTAATGGTGGGCTTCAGTCTTTCACACAATACGGTTGATAGGACCTTATATGTGATGTTCAGAAGGATTACTCCACGGTAAATGGCGTTGACTGTAGGACCGCCTTTTTTGTGGTTTGGGCAGTGCACACTTAGGTTCCAATCGTCAGACATACTTTCATTTTGCACAGAAGATGATGCATGCATTTGATCAGTTCTTCACCACCATATTTAAATAGCTCGGCCTGTAGTACATCGGTTCACGCCACTTTGTGTTTTTTAGGCGGGCGATTGCTATTAGGACTTCGTCATAGTTGGGTAACGGAACAACTTTTCCATCGTCCAATTAGAGTTTCGGGTTCACCATCTTCGGGTGTTTCATTATTGAAACCTTCCGTAAGTCACCCTATCTTTCCGTAGAATTTTCTAGCTTGGCGGACAAGTTCTCAAGCTCCTCACACTAACGCATTTCGGCCTCTTTCTTTTTTCCCCTGCAAATGAGTCTTCCTTCCCTCTGCAGCTCTCGATATCTATCCAACCCCGCATGTGTTGTGATCGATCACAAGGTCGCAAGGCAGGTAGTCTGTTTTCTTTACACCGCAGTCCTCATAGTACCAACAGTTTCGTTTGCAACTGTGTGTTGGGAGTTTGCAATACCGTCCCACGGTTCTATCATACCGGGATGCTGATGAGTGCTTTCAGAGAGCAGGTGTGCTAGTGTAGTGTGGCTAGTGCTACAAACAACCATGTCTCTGGCCCCGACGAAATCGATCAGCCTCAGCCCATTTGTTTCGTCGTGGAGGCTGAATTTTCCGACTGCTTATTCGCCCACCCTAGTTTGTTTCTAACTTTACACTCTAAGCAAATATATACATATACCACGCAAATTGTTGCAATATTTAAATTTGCATAAACTTCAGATACACATTTATTTTTTTTTTTTGCTTGTTGAAAATTATTTGAGTAAGTTACATTTTAGTTTATGAATATATAATTACCGGCGTAAGAGATGTAAATAATAATAATGGTGCCGCTGAAAGGCCTAATAGCCAACGCCATCCGAAGTTTGGGTATATAGCTAATGCTAAAGCTATTTCGAAGCACGCCCCCAAAGCCCAAAAACACTGTAAATAAAAGAAGTCACAGTCATATTAACTCTAAGTATTTCCTATGAAATTGTAGTTCTATACATGATACAGATAAGATAGCCACTTAAAAAATTGTCAATCTCCAAGTTAGTTTTAATTGTTTTGGGGTTATTTTCGAAACAGGTGTTATAAATTAAAATATTTGGTTTTAACCCGTTTTTATAGGCGGAAAAAAGAAAAGGATTAGCTAGATAGACAAATAATATGAAAAGAATTGCCGTTTTCCATTTTTTTCGATTCTAAGGCCTTTAGCTTTTCTCAACTATATGCCTAAAGTTCGTGGTTTAGGGCTCTGGTTATAGAGACACCCAGGGAGCGGCGCGGTCGATGAGCTAACCGGATAGGAGTAGTCATAACTCCGGTAAACTCTGGGGTCCATTATCAATTTCTCGGAAATTTCTTCTTCTATTGCTTAGCATGGCTTGCAAGTCTAGGCATCATTAATCCCCTGAACTTCATAAAATAGAGGAATATTCTTCCTAGAACCAACATAGGTATTATCAGGAGATAAGGGTTGCGTGATGTTTAACTGACTAGTTGAACGAATCGAGTTTTAGCGTAATTATTAGATTTTTATAATGAATTTGCACTGCTCTATAAAACCAACAATTATTAAAACTTTGAGACTGATTTGTATTCAAACGTTGGTGTAGCAAATCCAGTCAGTTTCTCATCTTCTTCCATTCAATTTAAAATTTTGTGCGGGAATCATTCCCTTTTCTGATACTTTCCTACAATTTACCAAAGTTGTAATACAACAATTTAGAAAGTTTATTATTAGGGGTTTTTAAATACAATATAGTAAGTGGTTTTCGAACGTTTAAATATTTAAAAAATCTCCGCATCCTTTTTATTTAAAAATGGTAGTTTTTTTCAGAGAGAAGAGTAGCCCGAAAAACCGAAACACGCTTATGTCAGATAGTTATGAAGCCGACTGAGAATGAAACCACCTTTAAATTATTGTATCATGATTATGCATATATTTTTTTAACTGAGGTAAGTATTATAATTAAAAGTGTGATGAAACAATTGTTCTTCTTTCACACACTGCCTTAGCAAAAATTACCGCTTGTATACAATTGTATTTTTATGAAAAGAGTAGACATTACTACAGATTTTTTAAGATTTGGCAAAATGACATAAAAATTAAAAATATCTACAATTTATTGCAAAAAATTATGTGTTGGTTTGTAAGTAATGTAAGTTTTCATGACATAAACTTGCTAAAACTAAATATGTTCTTACATTTTCGAATATCTCATGACATAGCATTTAGAAAGTTTACATGGCGAAATGAAAATATACAAATTCATAAATTTTTCTAATTAGCGCTTTGTAACCGCTGAGGCAAATGGAGGGGATTTCTATGAAAATATACATATATTCGTTAACAATTCTGTTCCTAATAAAAAAATATTCCTTGAAATTCTCTATAGAAAAGTGATTTGTATTTTTATTGCTTCTCATAACAAATATTTTTTGCTACTCAGGCATCTTTTTGCGTTCATTGAATGGCTTCCATTCAGAATTATGCAACCACTAAAATTATTTGATTGATTTTTTCTTTCCCGTAACGTAACAACCACTGGTTAGTTGGTTTTAAATTGCAACTGCATATTATTGTAATTTATGGCTAAAAGATTTTCTATATACGAGTATGTCTGTATATGCATACTTTTACTATTCTTTTTTAATAATAATCCAAATCATCCTAATTTCCTTTCATTTGGAGCTGGTTTGTATATTGTAAAAACCGAGTGTTAAGCAGACCATATCCCTTGGGGTTAGGGTTTTAAGGAATTACGCAGGAGGGCATGGCTGTCCTTTAGTTTCCGTGACAGTATTGACTTTATACCTGAACGCTCTGGAATTTTTCCTACCAAAGACTTCAGCGGACCGCCCCTCTTCTGGAAAGGTAACTTTCCCAGTATATTTCTGATATTTTCTAAAAAGCTCTTTCCATCTGTTGATAAAAAATCAAAACGCATACCCAAAACTGGAAGAGGAGATCGGCCAAAGATCGCTTCAGAAATTAACATGCCATAATTAAAAAATAAGGTTTGTACGAGTGTACCATTTTTTTCACATAATAATAGATAATATTCAATATTTACAAATAATTCTCTTAAAATTCTCCTTTTTTCTTTCCTCCCCTTTGTCTTGAAACTCGAAAATACAACCGTGAGCAAAGGAATTCTTTATACTCTACTTACTTCACCTGCTTAATATTTCATCGAGATTCAAAAGGTGTTTTTGATGCGAAACATCTATAGCCACACGTAAACCCGCTTTCTGGCTTGGCCATGTATATATTACATATACATATATACAGTCTATATGCAGTACGGTGTATATGCGTAATCGAGTAAAACGGAAGAGGGTTTGTATGCAGTAGTTGTTTTTGTTGTATTTAGCTTCTTCTTTTTATAGCAAATAGCTTTTTAAATAGAGAAGTGCGCAGAGGAGATAGAGGACTCTTAGAATGACCTTATGCATGATTTAGGTATTACATATACTACATGCCTATATTTACATGCATACATACATTTGTATAAAATATAAATGATTTTATGACTTCATTTAAATGTTAAACGTATTTATTTATTAACTATTATGGATTATTGAACCCAAAAATCCATCAAATTTTATACACCTGCAACCGTGCTTACTAATGTATGTATGTATGCACATATTATGTCTTTATTTGTAAACACTCAACATTGCCTAGTTGAACTTGCAAAAATTATTTTTCGCATCGTCAACAAAGCGTATGTATGGCGAAAGCTAACAAATATCTGAAGTTGAAGAAATTTCCGTACCCGCTTACTCTCGATATGAATGTTCCCTAAATGCCCTCAAAGCATACGATTTTAATAAATTTAACTAGAATTTATTCACATAAATTAATGAGCAATCACCTTTGAAATCATTGCACGCATTGTTCGCATAGAAGTGCGCAACCTGTGCAAATCAGCGAAGTCGGCTGTGGACGCGTGGCGAACATATTCTTTTGTATACTTATTTGAATAAGAGGAAGAAAAACATATGTTCTATTTATTTGTTATAAGTGCAGAAGATGCCACAGCCTTTTTATGTTGTGCAACTTTGCTTCCGCCTTTTTTTTCCAAAAGCTTTATTGCGAAAACGTGCTTACAGATATATTATTCAAAGTATTGTCCTTCGGGTCCCGTCTCGAAAAAAGGAGTCCTCTTTTGACGCTATCCATGAGCAATCCATTTTTCCAATTCTTCGAAGGATTGAAAATGTTGATCTGCGAGGCCGTGTGCCATCGACAGGTATAGGTGGGAGTCAGAAGGGGCGACATCTGGGGAATACGGCGGGTGGGGCAAGACTTCCCATTTCAGCGTTTTCAGGTACTTTTTGACCACTTTTGCTACATGTTCCTCGGTTTCAACTCGTACGGCTTCTTTCTGAATCATGCCCAGGGCCTTGAGACGTTCTGAAATGGCTTGTTGACTCACTCCCAACGATTCGGCAAGCTGTTCTTGGGTTTGGCACGAATCTTCATCAAGCAATGCTTCTAGTTGTTCAACTTTGAAGGTTTTTTCTCTTCCACCACCATTTTTGTCTTCGTCATCGAAATCACCATTTTTAAAACGTTGAAACCACTCCCGACACGTTCTTTCACTCAGAGCAGAATCACCGTAAGTTTCTGAGAGCATTCGATGCGCTTCAGCTGCATTTTTTTTTTCGAATTGTAACAGAAAAGTAAAACTTTCCGCTAATGGCGAGAATTAGGCACATAAGCTGTTTCGTTGAGAGGACCTCTATTTGAGAGATTTCCTGTATAATGTGTACTGTACTTTTATAAAACGCTGTTGTATCAGTTCTTCCGAGTGTTTCATTTTGCCGGACGGCTATACTGCTAGGTCAGGTTTTAAAGATCCCGTCTCAGAGTGATGAAGGTATGTGTGATCTGAATGATGCTTTACAGCCTCGTTTACTTGAGATATGGATATCTTGATTTGTTCTGCTACTTGAGCGCTTAATATCCACCCAAAGATATAGTCCTGTGTTATTAAGCTACCACAGCACTTGAGACCTGAGAGAAATATTTTAGGCAATATGTCGCTTCTAATCACCATATCTACTTTTTCTGTCTCAAGGCAATTGGGATCTGCTAGGAGTGAGGGCTCTTATTTATGTATATAGAATTTAGTTTATGGATTATATATGAAGCAATACAAGTTCTCTACCTCGACCCTCTCATTGGGTTATTTAATCTGAGTTGACTATTGTGGTAAAGGACTTTTCATTGATATTTGTTACTTGGAGAGTGACATTACATCCTGAGTGAGTTGAGCCGTTTGGCCTATTGGGTTTCTTGAAAAGAGAATTGAATGGCGGTGCCTATTGCAATGTATGCATATTAAGTTGCTTTTGCAACCTCCCTATGAGTGAGAGTACGCCAAACAATTTGTACTATAATTATTTTCTCTTGTGAACTTAATCCGATCAGGGATGGATAGAACTTTTAATGTTTTTCTCTTCGTCATTGAACAGGATGAGATTTTCTCGTTTGTATGTGCGTAAACAGATAAATTTTTAATTTCAAAATTCGATGGGGAGACTCGGTTATTACTTTCTGCAGTTGAAGTTTTGAGTTTTCCAGAGAAACGGTTTTTGTCAAGCCAAATTGCGGCTAACTTCCTCATGTACGTTATACCTCATTGTACCTCATAGCTGGATTCTATACATCCATATCGGTTTTATAGACGCATTGTAATTAGTTTAAGGTGCTGCTCTAATAATGGCTGTAATCGGGAGATACGTCAATTTAGTACAGCCGCATCATCCGCATATGGTGAAAAAATTACTTCGCTACTTATAGGAATATCAGTGGTAAACAGTATTTGTAACATAATGGACAAGAACATCAACTCGCAGAATACCTGCCGTTATTAGATACCTCTTTGTTACGTAGTCATTTACCTTTACTGTCAATCGTTTGTTAG